TTAAACCGTGCTTATAATGTAGCGCTGGTTATTAGCTAGGCTGCCCCTGTCGATGAAGCCTATGTTTACTTTATTTTTATATGTATATTTACAGTACATTTATTTTATTTTGGTTTTTAATGACTGATTTCATTTTCACAAAAGTTATAGAAGGTGGATCTAAATTCTGACACAATACAAAAGTCAAAAATGATGAAACGATGAATGTATTTATTTTTTTATTTTTTTTTTTGTGTCTGTCATCACCTTTTAGGACAGTAAAAGTGCTTGGATTTTCTTCAACTGTATCTTTTCTGATAGGAAAGTGGATCTAGTTGGTAATTTGGGGGGGGGGGGGGTTAAAGTAAAGTTTCAAACGCGCCGTGAAAAACAACATAAAAATTAAGGAAAAACGGTAATTTTTACGCAAAAACAGTTTTCCACAAAATCAATTTTGGTTTTTGGTGTAACTCTGAAACAAATGAATGTATACTTGACATTTTCACTGGTTGTTTATATTTGCATTTTCTATACACGATAAAATTTCCAAAATATTAAGATTTGTTTTGAAGTGTTAAGTAACATTTTAACTATCCATTTTTTTTTCTAAAAATATCAATACAATTTTATTTGTAGGTTAAAAAAGCTTGAAAATTTAATAAAAGGCTCCTAGTAAATTGTTTCAAAGGCAGATGAAAAATATTAAAAATCCTTAGTCACAGTTTATTTTTATAAGCATTTTTTTTTTTTTTTTTAACTTTTTTTTAAAAACATACAATCTGTAATTTAAATTTACAATAAGAATGTATGCGGATATACATTGATTTATTTGACATGCGACGCTTGAAAAAAGAAGCCACTCAATAGGCAATAGCACCCATAAGCATTTAAAGTTCAAAAATTGACAAAATATGGAAAAATCACGAAAATGAGCAAATTATTTTGAGTTAAGAATTCTTAAAAATTTTACTTTTTAAATCTAAGATTTTAAAATGTAATACAACATTCCTTATAAGATTATCTATCTTTATCAAAAACAAAATGTCTATAAGATAGTTAAATTAAATTTTTATGAGCGTTTGAAATTCAAATTTTTACAACATTGGATATTCACTCGATTACTCATATGTAGCGATTTCTTTATTTTGTTATAATTCAAAAACGAATAACTGTAGATGCATGAAAATTTCACTGAATATTTATATTAGCATTTCCTAAACACCTTATAATTTTGAAAATATTTTGACTCTTTATGAGCTATTTACGGACATTTTTACATTTTTCAATTTTTTTATTTTTTTTTCTATAAATATCAATTAAGTTTTATCTGTTTGGTCGAAAAGTGTAAAAATGTAATATAAGGCTCCTGATATATTGTTACAATATCAGTTGAAAAATATTAAAAATACATTGACACAATTTTTTTTTATAAGTATTTAAAGATCGAATTTTGACAAAATTTAAAATTTAATAATTATTTTGTATTTAAAAATTTATAAAATGTTCAACTTTCATATCTCAAGATTGAAAATGTAAACTAGATTCCATGTAAGTAGTTAATTCTGTTACCAAAAAATCTAAAAAATTTATAGACAGTGTATTTTTATAGACATTTTAAGTTCAAATTTGGACGAAATTGCAAAATGAAAAACTTAGAACAACTATTTTAGTTATTTTGTTGTGATTGTATAATATTATTCGTGGCCTCGTGGCCCGTGGGTACTTGAAACTTCTAAATTGTACTATTATATATCTATGATAGTATCACGGTTTTTTGTTGATGCACAACACGTTATAAGTACCTAATGGATATTGTCATATGATTAATTTGGAATTTATTATAGGTCAATTTTTTTTAATTACATAGATAGGTACTGTATATAATAAGTCTTATACCTAGACTGACATATCGTCTCCGCTCAGAATCGTTTTTCTTTTACAATGATATTCAAATGAATTCAAATTTAATACCATCCATTATACAGTGACCCACTTTTTTATACTTGTGTTTTTCGAATTTAGGTAGATTGTAAGTTGATAGTATGATTTTGTACGCTCTTTTTTACTTCCATACTCAGTCTTCATGGCTGTATATATCAATACATCATAATAGCAGATCTTCGATATTTTTATAGGGGGGGGGGGGGGCATATATAAATTGTATAATTTTAATTAATAATACATACTATAATTTTTAAACAATAATGATTATAATAAATAATAATTAATCGTTGATACTTGATAGTATTCTTATTAATTGAATTTTTCATTTATATGATACTCGTAGTTACATAACGAATTGACGACAGAAAATTGACAGGGGGGCACGTGTCCCTCCTCTAAATCCACTACTGTACATAATTTTTTCAAATAAAAAAATGTTTATATAGTTTGCCATTTCGAGGGGCCACTATTAACTTGGAAAAAAACTGTGGGTCAGCTGAACCCCCCCCACCCCAACAGGGTCCGACCCTGGATGTACATGTGTATCCACTTTTATATATTTTGATGTGTAGCAAAAATGTAAATAGTTATTCTTAAGTACGATTTATACCCAGTGGCCAGTGCTATATCCAATATGAATGATATATATGATATGATCTTGGTTGATTTAGATCACAAAGTGACTCTTAACTTTCCTGTGAACTGAGGTAGCCGATAGGTTGGTACACCAAAACAAAGTAAAAAATGCCCATTTATGATATATAAGCAAGTTTTAAGACCTTTAATCTTATACACATGCCCAATAAGGCACAGTTGTGCACTTGTGCTAAAAGTAATTTAAATAAAATATAAATATTTTAAAACAAAATACTTCTCATAATAACAGATGCTCCATGGTTTGTATGCAAGTATTCAACAATAAGCATTGCATGAAGACTTGGAAATCTCCACAATTGATGAACATTGAAGACATAAACTCTATACCTAACAAACAAATTCTTTCATTCACTTATAAACTCAAATGGAGCCACTCGGCACTAGTCACTACCGCTTAAATGTACCTAAGTTCTCCAAAACCTCGCCGACTCAAGAGAGGAACACGATTGCAGAGAGCGACATCTATCACCAGTCACTTCCTAAGAAGGATACAACATGTCCAGATAAGTATCTTAATTTAAACCTGTTATGTTACTATTTAATTATTATATTGCAATTATGTAAAAAGAAAAGGGGAAAAAAATGTACATATCAGCAGGCTAGGATAGCTACCTAGCTAAGAACTCCTTAATAAATAATGAATTTGAAAAAAACCAAAACCAAGATACACTTTTACCATAGAACAATACTTATACCCAACAAATAACTTTTATTAATTTTATTGACATTTATAGAGAAAAAAAAACGAAAATAAGTGAAAAATTCAAATGTCTGTAACGACATCAAAACGAGTCAAAATATTTTGAAAATTTTATCAAGTATAGAAATGATAAATTAACATATGGTGTAAATTTAAAGTATCTACTAACCGTTTTTGAATTGCAAAAAAATAAGAAAAATCTGTCCATGAGAAATCGAGTGAATATCCAATGTTATAAAAATTTGAAATTGAAACATTCATAAAAATGTAATTTGACTTTCCGGTAATTGTGTTTATTTTGATAAAATTAGATAAACTTATGAGGAACATTGTGTTACATTTTAAAATCTTAGATATAAAAAGAAACATTTTTATAAATTTATAACTCAAAATAGTTTGAAAATTTTAGTGATTTTTGAGAATTTTGTTAAAATTCTAAGTTCAGATGATCATAAAAAATTATTTTGGATTTAAGTTCAACTTTTTTTTTGATTTACTCTATAACAAGTGTAAACACTATAAAATAGTGTTACACTATATATAACAAGTTACGGGGGACCTTATATTACATTTTAAAATATTTTTGACAGAGTGAATACATTTTTTATCGACATTTATTTTAAAAAAAATAATTATCTACAATTTCATATATGTCTATAAATAGCTCATCAGAAATCAAAATATTTTGGTGTACAGAAAATGCTTAGATAAACATTCAGTGAAAATTTCATGTGTCTACAGTAATTTTTTTTAGAATTAAATGTTAAAACCAAAAATCAAAATTGATTTTGCTTCTAAATCCCGTTTTTTTAATTTTCTATTTGTTTTTCCCGGCTTTTTTGAAACTACTGGGAATTTATTTTCCTTCCCAAATTTACCACCTAAATTCACTTTGAAGTGAAAGTTCATACATACTGAACTTGAAAATCAAAGTATTGTTTCAACTACTTATCGTGTATTCGTGCACTGTGCACACACCAAAAAAAAAATTTTTAAAAATAACTCATCATTGTGAAACAATACATCATCACTCGGCTCAGAATCTAAAATAGTAATAGGTACCTACCAGTGGCTACCACTGAATATAACAATAGGTAGGTACGTTCGATGTAAAAATTAAAATAATTATTTTGAAAATGTCCTTGTTTATTGGTATGTTATTCATAAAAGTTTCAAGTTCCTACTTCCTACGAATATTATTATGTAATGACAATAAAATATTTAACTAAAAAATGTTGTTTGATTATAGGCAGAGATTTAATTGAATTTTAGGGGGGGGGCTAAAGTTTTTCTTTACAAAACAATAAGTAGAGTTTTGAAAAATGTTAAATGTTTAATAAATTTGGGGGCTGAACCCCTCCGAAGCACCCCACCACTCAATCGCCGACAGTGGTTTGAATACCCATTTACTTGGAAGTTATTAGTTAAATTTGATTCATACCATAGAACAAGTTAAACCATAGCCAGATATCAGTGTTTTTTATCAGTTAGTTACAACCGTGATCTTAACCTCAGTTTGTTATCAGATGAAAACACATGCTGAAACCAATTTTTCAAATAAACTTTGTTTATTTTCGATTTTTACAATTACTATTTACTACCAAGTTTTCTCTTTGGATTTTTTGCAATAATATGAAATCTTATTTTTAGTATAATTACTAATTATTCAATTACTTATATGCGTAGTAATGTAATATATTTATATTGTTTTTTTAGAATCATGTATAGGTTATTTAGGTTTCGGTCTCAAATAAAAAATGGATTTCCTCAAATAGTTTTAATTGACAAGCCTCATTTACTGAAAACAGCAAATTTTTCTAATATTCCAGGTAAGATAAATGTTATAAATATATTGTTATATGTTATAATTATTGTGTTAATGCTATAATTTGTCTACTATATAGAAAGTATTGAAACTAAAACTTTGATAAAGACCAAACAGTTCAAAAGAAATGTCAAACGATTTTCAGAAGTAGTACAAGGTTAGTATAAAGAATAATTTATTCATTGAAATGTCCTAAATAATTTTATCTTGACTTATAATTTGAAACACCTGTAGTTTTGAGGTTGGTTTGAACATAATTCCATAGCAAATTATAGTAAAAATAATATTTGCTTAGGTATGTATAAAATGTCCTAGCCTATGTTTAGTGTTTAATTATTTTTATTTGATTCTAAGTTTCTTTATTGTCACTGTAAATTAAACAATAATAGTGACTTTAATTCACATTAAATTAAATTATATTTTTTCTATTTTCATAAGAACAAATCTTTAATCAATTAACATTAATTCCCTGAGTTATTTGAAAGAAAATAAGTGATGCATCTTTAGAACCTATTTTTAAACAATACATTTCATTAACATACCTATGTCATACCTTCTATATTCCTGGAAAATAGTTATGCAGCTTATGTTTATTGCCAACATACTAAAAGTGGTTATTTTATAATTGCTATTCAATTTAAGATTTATTACTATAATAACTTTATTTGTTCAAATAGTATAATATATTTTATAATATTTTTTTGTTTTAAGTTACCGATAGTGTTACCAGTCAATCTAAAGTAAAAGTAAAACATTTAAAACCTAACCAAGTGCAAAAAATGGTTGCTTGTAAAAAACCATTGGCTATGTTTCCTAAAACAGAAATAACAAATGATTGTTCTCATAAACTTTCCATGAAAACTATATCTGATATAAAAAAAAATAGCCTTAAAGAAGCGCTGTTAGATGATATAGATGAATTGAATGAAGATCAAATCAGTTTGCTTAAAGATACTGAATTTTTGCAAACAATAACAATGACAGAGAATGACATCGAAAATAAATTTGCTCCCGGCCATTTAAAAGGAGAACAAGACATTTACAATAGTATTGAATTACCAAAAAGCAAAGACAAATTGTAAGAAACCTTCTTTATTATTTTCATTTCATTTATTTTATATAAGTAATGATAATTTTTACATTTTAAAGATCAAAAAGAGAACGTAATCGAAATATTGCTGTAAAAAATAAACTTGAGCTAAAAGAAGCTATTAAGCAACTCAATATTAAAGGCCGTGAAAAAAGTCTCAATCAAACACTTCTGGCATATATAGATTTATGTGTAAATTAAATATATTATATATTATAATATATATGAAAAGAAACAAATAGTAAATATATTATTTCTTATTTTCTTAATTTGTTTAATTATTTTAGGTGTGTTGTGGATTTCTTAATAGAGGATTGGCAGCTTTAAATCATTATTGTTATAAGAGTGTTTCAAATAAAGTGTCTCTAAAAATAACTGATATTCGGATTTTTACATGTTTAATGCATGGTTTTGCAAGCAAGGTAAATATTATGGTACATATTCATAAATGTACATTAACATAAATATATACTATGATAATATATGCTTCAGGTTATTAATAAAATAATGAACTGTTTTAATCAAAAAATAATTTCCAAATAATATTTTCAGGGAAACTATGAAAAATTAAAGGAAATTTGGTCATTATTAGAACTATCACAAACAAAACCAAATATTCAAGCTTATGCAGCTGCGTTTGAGTGTTTGGTTAATAAAAAAGAACCATGCTCATCTGATATATTACGAGGATTATATAATCAATTTTTATCTGATGTAAGGCATCACAAATGTATACATTTGAATAATATATTTTATGAATTAATTTTTTCTGTTTAGGGGTTTACGTTTAATAATTTATTTGAAAATTGTATTTATATCGGAAATCAACGAGAACAAGTATTAAAAGCTGTGCAATTATTAGATCCTTCATTTGAACCTCATCTCAGTATTGAAAATATTTATTATTCTTGCCCTCTTTTAGATCATTTAAATTCACAAAAAGTAAAAATACAACTGAATTTTGTTTTGAATTCATGTTTGTATAATATGTATTATTTGATCTTTAGTCTACGTTTAAATGCCCGGCTGAAGGTCTTTTCAACGAAAAGAAAATTCTTGAATGTGCTCGGAAACAACTAGAATCAGAAATGTCTACTATTGTAAAAGTACTGTCAGTCGACAATAATCCCACACCATCTCAAAAAGTTTTAGATTACGTAAGGATTTAAATACATTATCTACAGTAGTATGTTCTGTTTGTCAGTTCATTCTTAAATATTTCTAATTTTTCTTGTTAATTATTTTTCAATGCAAATAATGTAATTGGGCTCGTCCCGTATTTAATATAAATAAATAAATGTAATCAAAATGCAATTATTTGATAAATAATAACTTAAGATATTCAAGGAATTAAAAAAAGGTATATATCTATTTAATCACACACTGTTTATTTCGGACTTTTTTTCTAACTTTTTATTTTAACTGTTTTCATCGTAGCTCAAATATACTAGGTAATTGCAATAGTACCTCCACAATATAATTTTATCATGTTAAGAAATTAAAATGGCAGTATAAGGGGGAACCTATATTTATGCCATGGACCGTACCGTTATACTGCCATTTGATTTTGTTTGATAACAGTACAGACTATATGCAATAACCTTGTATATTTAAGCCATGGTAAAAACAGTGATACAGTTAAGATCTAGTACTCTGCTTAGTTTTTGAAATCAGAAAATTCAATTTTATGAAATTCTATATTTCGTATTACATTATTACAGGATATGTAAAGGATTTTGAGGGTTACCGTGTTTTGTATCAAATAAATTGTCCACATTTTTAAACATGGTGCTTTAAAACATAAAAAGATACTTAGGATATTTTAATTAAGTACTTTTTTTTTTTGTAAAACTATTCTCTCAACATTATTTACCAATTATCATATATGCAATTATATTATATATATTATATTATATGCAATTTTACACTCAAAATACGAAAATATGATTTCTGCCGATTATTTTACCTTCAAAATACCTGGAATTAAAATAAAAACAGAAAACAGTGTTGTGGTATCAGTAGATAAGTTCTAAAATCAAAAATTTGTTTTGATGATTTTATTTTATTGTTTGTGTAAATCAGGGATGCATGATTTATTTATTTATCAATCCACCTTGTAAAACTTTAATTAAATTATATTTTATAAGAGATTGAATTGAACTATTCCAAATAATTTATTATTGCAAACAGCTTGTACCCTTTTCAAATTGTATGCATATATGTATTCAATATGTATTTGTAATAAAATATGTTTATAGAGAAATAAATTAGAAGATTTACAAGAAAAATGGAAAGAAACTATAAGGAATGCTATTGCGCGTGAATTAGAAAGTATACGTGCTCAGCATAACTGTTTAAAATCTTATCGGAATGTAAATATATATCCTTATTTAAGAGTTTTAAACACAGAACAATATGTTGATATAATTATACAAGAAGTTCGAAAGCTAGCTGAAGGGTCTGAAACATTTAGCCCGACAGTAAATTTACTATATCGAAATTTGGCTAATCAAGTTAGATTAAGGTACTATATTTTTATAAAGTATAATAAAGTAAAAATGTATACCTTAATTATGTTCTATTCACAATTTAGGTACCAAATTAAATACAAAAAGAATACAAAAATTATAGAAAAGTTGAAAGCAGTTTATACCGATTATTGTTCATGGTATATTAATAGTAAAAATGATGATAGTCAAAATACGAGGCAACAATGGCAACAATTAGTACACAAATACAAAGGAATAGGAGCAGATATTGTAAGTTTTTCTTATTTTGGATTTTTATATATAAACAAGATGTATCTTAAAAAATATAGACAATTATGTTTTAGTGTCTAACAGTAAACTCACTTGTATTATTTTTAATTAAATTAAGAGCTAAGGTTATAGACATATTCAGAAATATTTAACATCAACTAGTAAGTTAACCTTATAAAATGTTTTTGATTCTACTATAGTGTGTCGAGAGACGGCAAGTCGGTGGCAAACAAAATATGTGGTACTCTTGTACCTACTGCAAGAAGTCAGTGCTTAACGGGAACAATTAGACCTCGGAAAGTCTTCTAGATTTTGATGGGGGTTCCTCTCTCTCGTTAAGCAGAGTAAATAGGTAGTGGATTTTTAGGTTCTTGAAAGTTTAAAATATAATGCTCATTTTCACTAATAAAAACCTTAATATTCCATTAAAACTGGTAAAATATATATTCATATTATGTTTTTTTGGTGTGTAAACATCTATGCTATCGGTTTGTAGTACAACCTTCTTGGGGAATCGAGCGTCAGGCGTAAGTCATGTAGATGTGACTGCTTGAGTGTGTGTGTGTGTGTGTGTGTGTGTCGTCGCCATAGCGCTAAAATCGCAGAACCAATAAACCAGGCGAGTTGCTTATCTATTATTTTCTTTGTTATTTTCACGAGTCTGGTAGGTGCGAACGCGCTCTGGTACAGTCGTCGGCCAATTCATTATTAATATTTTTTTATTATTCTCGTTTACGTATATGCCCAAAACCGTGTTTGTATCGTATAATATGTATTACACAAATTCCCACTCAAACCATGACATTATTTTCCCCAATCAAAGTCGTACTACAGCTAAGATGTTTACACATCATTCGTGAGGGCACTCACATTTTTGTATATTTATATGAGTCATTAAACTATATAAAAATAATTATGAATAACAAAAATAAAAATGTGTTTTTGAGTCAAATGATGAGGATATGATATTTTGCATTTTTGTAACATATAAATACATAATGCAATATGGGTTATAGCACACCAATTATAAACAATTTATAATTTTTCCTGATTATTGTGGATTTTCAGTTGATATTTGAAAATAGTGGTTGAGTTTGGGTCATGTTTCCAAAAACAAACTATAGACTAAGGGTACTGTAGCTGGTGGTCATAAAAATGTAGAAATCATTGTAAAATCAAAACATGAATTGCTCCACTCTAAATCTAAAAATAAATAAATTAACACAAAAATATAGGACAAATAGTATAAACCATTTCTAATTCATTACTCTTAACTGCTATTTCAATTTTATTAACAAATTTTCTAATAATGTATCTATCAACCCGCCTACCCCTACCTTCCCATCCTATTTAGTAAATAGCCCACTGAACTTGTCTTTTTTTAGCATATTTTACCTGAATGTACATGGTTTAAGGACTAAATTAAGATTAACAAATCTTAAAGGTGTTATTCCTTTGTTCCACTCCTATGATGTCATTGTCCTTACTGAAACTTGGTTAAATCCTGATATCCTAAGCTCTGAGCTCGGGCTCGTTAACTTTCATGTGTACAGGTTTGATAGGTGCCCTCTTACAAGCTCCCTCATTAGACGTGGTGGGGTTCTTATCGCTGTTCGCACCTCCATTAAATCTTTTCCAATTCACGTAGATACTGTCCATGTTGAACAATTATTTGTAGTTTTATCGATAAGCCCTTTCAAACTATTGATTGGTACTGTTTATCTACCACCCAGCTCTCCTTTGCCGTTGTATGAAGCCTACACTTTCACAGTTGAGATAGTACTATCCTCTGTCAACCCTACGCATACCCTTCTGTGTTGTGACTTTGACATGCCACATATAAACTGGTCTAGTAGCCTTACAGCCTCTGGCAATCTATCTGCAACGTCTTCCCACCTAGTTGACACTTTCTCCTTTCTTAACCTCTTTCAACTCAATCAGGTACATAACATACATGGTGGCCTTCTTGACCTTCTGTTACTTCAGCCCTTTTTCCACTTGTTAACGCTGACTCTTTTCATCCACCTTTGTGTGTCCAATTTCCCATAGAGTTGTATGACCAGCCGTCCACTTGTTTCGTGATTTTAAATCTGGTAACTATACTGCCATGTCTCATTTCCTTGGTTCGTTTGATTGGGAAGCTACCTTCTCGCTTCTAAGTCTTGAAGAATCCGCATTGTTATTTAATAACGCACTACTCAACGCCATTGATAAATATGTCCCCCTAAAAGTCTTTTCACATTCCAAATTTCCATGTTGGGCTTCTCATTACCTCAAAAGCTTAATATTTAGTAAGAAGCAGGCTCACAAAAAATTCCAGCAAACCAATACTCCCATAGACTACATAGCATTTTCTGAGTTAAGAGCCAAATGTAAACAGCGTTCTAACTCTGACCACTGTGCCTACATCAAGCAAACCGAAGAAGCATTGGCATCTTCTCCTTCTAGGTTCTAGAGTTACGTTAGGAGTCTAAAACAAGTTCCATTGATACCTTCAGTTGTCCACCTCAATAATGTATCTTCTAGTTCTGACACTGAGTCTGCTAATCTTTTTGCTTCATACTTCTCCTCCACATATTACTATTCTCCGCCTACATTGCAATCGCAATCTCCTTCCCCTAGACAATTACCTTTTGATCTACCATCCAACATTAATTTCTCTGCAAAAGATGTCTACCATCTCCTTGGCTCACTAGCTAATTCCTTCTCCAATGGACCCGATGGCATATTGGCTCGCTGCTTATACAACTGTCGTCACTCTATCACAAACCCTGTATTTTTATTATTTAGGCGCTCCATATCTGGAGGCATATTTCCAACTATTTGGAAAGTTTATTCAGTGACACCAGTTCTCAAGGCAGTTGACCCATCTGATGTTAAAAATTATAGGCCAAAATCGATTATTCCTCATTTAGCCAAATTCTTTCAGTCCTTAGTCTATTCTAATATTAAAATAAGTCTAAATCACATAATTATAGACATGGTTTCAGACCTGGCAAGTCTACAGTCACTAGCAGTGTTGCATTCACTACCTACTTGCTTGATAACATCGAGAAGGGTGGTTAAATTGATGTTGTCTTTACTGACTTCAAAAAAGTATTCGACACGGTTGACCATTTCCTTCTTATTAATGAATTAGACACACTGGGTATCAGTGATCCTCTTCTCTCTTGGTTGCGTTCTTACCTCTCCAACAGACAGCAATTTGCAAAGGTCAATAATTGTAAGTCTTCAATTAACATACCTAGAAGGAGGCCATCTTAGTCCTTTACTCTATCTTATTCATTAATTCAATCAGTAAGTCGATTACCAAGGCTAAATTCCTGCTCTTTGCTGATGATATCAAAATTTATTTGAATTCTAAAGATATTTCTTGTTCCCTGACTCTTCAACATCTACTGGATGAATTTGCTCTGTGGGCTCAACTTCTTAGTCTGAGTTTGAACTTAGCCAAATTTTCTGGATGTCACAACCCAGCACTTAACTCTTACTATATCAATGGCTCCCCACTCAAGTGTGTTTTTACTATTAAAGACCTATGTATACATTTCAGCCACCATATTAATGTTACCACCTGTAAAGCATTGAAAGTCTTGGGTTTTATAAAGCGCAATAATAAAATGTTAAGCTCTGTCCGTTGTCTGCCTACACTTTACCTGTCCCTTGTGCTCCCTATTCTAGAATATGGTATGATAGTCTGGCACCCCTACCTAGCAAAAGACCAGCTTAGACTTGAAAAAGTCTTTTAAGAAGTTTTTATCTTATATCTCTTTCTTACTCAAAATCGAGCATCCTCAGCATGACTACTCGTCCGTGCTTTTAAAATTAAACATTCCTACGGTTTCTACTCGACGTTTTGATGTTGATTTTTGCTTTATTAAAGGCCTACTAGATGGATCAATAGATGCCCCAGATCTTCTTTCCTCCATTAATTTTCGTGTCCCATCCTACCCCTCAAGGCATCACACACCCTTTCATATCTCCACTCACTCTACCTCCTACAGTAATAACCATTCACTACACCGTATTCTTCGTTATGCCAATAATGCTATGTAGTCTACTCAGTATTCTATATTCTATATTTATTTGCCACTTTTAACTGTCTGTATACTACTATTTTAATAATGCATTTTGTAAACTATTTTAATTTTAAGCTGTATATTGTAATATTGTTACTGTTCTGTCATTGTTTATATATTTTTTGTGATTGCCGTTTGGCGTAAATAAAATAAATAAATAAATAATTAATACTAATATTATACCTAATAATTATCGATTACTGTTGTTACTAGGAACAAGATGACAAACAATGGCCTTCTACTGTATTAAACAGCGTTGGGAAATTTTTATACAATATTATTATTAAAGATATAAAAATTGATGTTAATATCATGAAAGACAATATAGAAGAGGAGTAAATTAAAATTCATTATTGAAATTTTCATCTTTAATCGCCTTAAATTAATTAATTTAATTTCTAGGCATTTATTACCAGCATTTTATACAGTTTTTCGTGGACAATGTCAGCATGTAAAACAAGAAATCAAACCACATCCTGTATTGTCAAAACTTTATCAGTTATCTGAACCTAATGATTTAATATTTGATGTTACTATGATTCCTATGTTGAGTCCGCCAGTTCCTTGGACTTCAATCAATTCTGGAGGGTATATTGCTGCTAAAGCAGATCTAATTAGGTAAAATAGTTTATTAAATTGTTGTAAATTAATTATCAATGCACATAGATATAATATGCTATATTTAACTTTATATAATATAATAACAATAGAAATATTTCACAATTAGTTATAGTACTATACCTATGTCTATATCATGTAAATTAAAAACTAAACCAGATTAATTCATAATTTAAAAAAAAAATTTTGTTTTTTTTTTTAAACAACTTCTTACAATATTTTGATATTATTAATTAAGTTTTGCTTGTAACTTATACAAGGTGCTTCATAGAATAAATGCATAATGTAACTAGTAAATTAGTGATTAGTAGTCATTTAAATAACAAATAACTGTAAATTATTTGAGATTCACAAATCAAGGAACTTTTACAGTTTAGAATCATAATTTGTATGTACATGGTCCGTCAGAACAAACGCATGTTTTTCGAAATAATACTACGCTAAAAGTAATTTCCGTAAAATAATTTTTATTACATCAAAAAATGTAGAAACATATGCAATTTTTTTTTACTGTAACAAAATTTAGGTTTTGAAAATAATGTCAGTCATATGGCGGCCTTGAGCCCCAATGCAGGAATGCAGGCGCTCCCGAAACGAGTTCATCGCGTCGGTCAGCATCTGCCCCGGAACTTCACCCTGAGCTTCAAAGACGACGTGTCAGTATTAGAAAAGTGTGGTTTCAACAAGACGGGGCAACATCACACACAGCTCGTGCCTCAATGGAGGTTCTTCGCCAAAAATTCCCCGGATGTCTCATTTCACACTTTGGTGACGTTCCGTGGCCCCCTCGCTCCCCTGACTTGTCATTGTGTGATTTGTGGGGTCACTTAAAATCAAAAGTCTATCAATACCAGCCACAAACCCTAGATGAATTGAAGAACGAGATCACACGAGTTGTGGGTGAAGTTCCGGGACAGATGCTCACTGACGCGATGGACTCGTTTCGGGAGCGTCTGCATTCCTGCATTGGGGCTCAAGGCCGCCATATGACTGACATTATTTTCAAAACCTAAATTTTGTTACAGTAAAAAACAATTGCATATGTTTCTACATTTTTTGATGTAATAAAAATTATTTTACGGAAATTACTTTTAGCGTAGTATTATTTTGAAAAACATGCGTTTGTTCAGACGGACCCTGTATAAATGTATAATACAGTATTAAAATTATTATATAGGTTACCACAACAAGCTATTTTACAATGGCATAGACTTGAGCAAACACCAAAACAGGAACTTTATCCAGCCTTAGATGCACTGAATCAGTTGGCCTCTATACCCTGGACTATTAATAAACCTGTAATATCTTTATAAATATTCAACAATTATATAACACAACTACACAATATATAATAATAATTTGTTAATTATTCTTTTATTTTATTAGGTTTTGGATGTAGTTCTTCAAGTATTTCGTTCAGGTGGTTCTTCAAAATTAGATATTCCAAAGCCTATATCTGCCTTCCCATCTCCTCAACCAATATTACAGAGTATGAGTAAAGATGAACGTTCTAGGTTGTATAAAGAACGTGCTATATTGAAAAGACAGAAAGCTGAAATGTTTAGTTTGTGGTGTGATGCTTTATATCGCCTGTCATTAGCAAATCACGTAAATATTTATAGTTAATTTTAATAATTTATTGAATAATAAATAATTAAAATAATTAATAATTAATAAAACAATTTAAGTTTTGCGGTAAAACATTTTGGTTGCCTCACAATATGGATTTTCGAGGTCGAGTATATCCATGTCCTCCTCACTTAAACCATCTTGGCTCAGATATGGCCAGGTCACTGTTGTGTTTTGCTAAAGGAGAACCACTTGGGTCTAATGGTCTAAACTGGTTGAAAGTAAGTTTTTAAAATTCATTAATTAACAGTGTTTCAGTTTGGAAGGAACAGATTTCTGGAATGAATTCCTTTTTATAATAAAGAACAAAGAACGAAATAGTCTGTTTTGATTCATACAGATATGTAAATAATTGAAACTAAAATATAATATATTTTTCTTAGTTCATACAATATGTATTGCCAATAATCCATTATCGACGTCAATCTGTTAAAATTTAGTCACTATATTAATATTTCTTATATTATTTAGAAATCGTTGTTGTTGTATCGACGGAAAATAGTATGAACGTCGGACAGTAAAATAATTTATAATGTGGGTTGGGACTTGGGAGCAGAGCCAGTTTAATGTAATAAGTGGTCCCAGTTTTGGGAGCCTTAATTTTTCAAAAAGAAATTTTAAACATACCTATTTGATTATTGATATTAAGTTGTAGATATTTACAAGAAAACATTTTTACTCAGAGAGTAAGTTTACAATGTTTACTTTACATAATTAATTATTAAACAACACAATTTATTATAGTGTTATAACATAAAACACAAGATAATAATACAAAAATTCTTCTTCTTCTTTCTCTGGCATGAATACTCTCTAAAAGTTTTTACTACCAATTCTACACTTCGCCACCCATCTCTATCTTGGACTGCCTCTCTCCAATCCTCAACTCCAAGAGTTTTTAGATTTTCTTCCACCATGTCAATCCATCTTTTCCTAGGTCTTCCTCTGGGTATTTTTCCTTGTGGTCTTCACTCCAATGCTACTCTAGCTGCTTCGTTCTCTCCTCTTCTCATTATGTGGCCTATCCATTGTATTCTTTGGCCCTTAATGAAGGTGACTGGTGCTAATTCCAACATATTGTACAGCTCTTTGTTATATCTCCTCCGCCAGTTCCTCGTTGTTACAACGATGATAGGTACACATATTTTCCTCAATACTCTTTTCTTGAAAGTCCTCAGGTTTCTCTCTGTTTGTTTGGTCGTCGTCCAAGCTTTGCAATCATACATGAGAGTATAATAGCCACATACAATATTACTTTTGTTTTCCTTGATGTAAAGAATTTTGTCAGTGAGAAGACCGCTTTTTGGGCTTTATTTATCTGAATACTTATTTCCTTTGACCAGTCATTCTTTGTGCTTAACGTCGCTCCCAAATATTTAAAATCACTTACTTTTTTATAGTTTAAATCCTCCATCTCATTGGGGTCCTTCCCACTATCAATGAGTTCCATTATCTTTGTTTTCTCAGTATTTATTTCAAGACCTATTTTCTTCGCTGCTTCTTCCAACACTGGCCACGTTAGCTGTGTTTGTAAGCAAATCACTTGATCGTCAGCGAAACCCATATTAGCTGACACAATCTGTAGATTACTATGTGCAGCTCCTCACCTCCATATTTTATGAGTTCTGCTAGAATATTATCGGTACACGGTGCTTTCTAATTTTTCAGGCCAAATATTGCAATTTTCACTTCTTCTAAACTAATATCCTCTATGTGTGGCCCCGGTCTTTCATATTCGGTATGTACTACTGGATGTGCTGGCATCATACCATTTAGTAATTTTTCAAAATATCCTTTCCATCTCTCAGCTCTTGACCCTGACTCTATTAACATTTGTCCGTCTTGGTCTCTGATCGCATTCCATATTGGGGTAAATTGCTTAAATTGTTTAATGACTCTAAAAAAGTTTCTACTTTTCCCTTGTGTATGGTCAATTTCTGCAGTATGTAGTATATTGCTAAAAAAAATTTTTCCCCCTTTGATGAGTGCTTTTGCAGATTATCATCTGTTCATGTATAAAAACTTCTTTAGTCATTTGAGTATGGTTCTTCTTAATAAAGCCTTATGACGCTGATCTACAGAAATTCTACAAACATCATTATACTAAGTATTTCTTGACCTTTTTAGCTCACCAATACTTTTGGCCTCTGCTTTTTTAACAGCATTGCTCACAAAATTGCTCACTTTTTCCCAATCCAAATCCACGTTCATATGTACATTGTTTTCCTTAAGATTCCTCATGACTTCATTCCCATACTCTTTCCTCACATTTTCATCTTTAAAAAACTTGAAATTTATTTTAGTCCTCTTGTCATGATTTAATTTTGATTGATTTTTGACTTTGATCTGAGCTTTGCAATCAGTAAGTAGTGGTCCTTGTCACAATCTGCGGCTCTATGGCTTCTTACATCGTAAATGGTACTACACTACTACGGTATCTAGCCTGTATAAGAACATGGTCAATTTGGTTCAAGGTTTTACCATCTAGTGACCTCCACATGGCTTTGTGAATATTCTTGTGTGGAAACGTAGTACTACTAATACTAACAGTCAACCCATTTAATTTTGAAAATGATATCATTCGCTTACCATTGTGATTGCTATGCCTATGCACATTACACACTTTCCATTCTTATACAAGGGGAATACTGTGGTTCCCGTCCACATTTTGCATTTAAGTTACCTTATACAATCTTTATCACGTTTCCAGTGATACTCTTGTATGTTTCGGTCAGTTTGCCTTGGAAGATATCTTTCACATTGTCGTACCTTACTTCTGTTGATGCATGTCCATTTATTATACAAATATTAATTGGGCTAGTGTTGATGGTGAATATTGATATCCGTTTGGATATTGGATTAAAATATTTAATGTACGGTTCTAATGTCCTATGAACTGCAAAAGCGCTACCAAAATGATGTGTATTCTCCAATCGTTAGTTGCCCTACTCACAACCATCTTATTTCATGGCTGCTACTTTAATGTTGTAGGTGTTCAGGACATCCACTATGTTTTGACTTGCACCTGTTTTATACAAGCTCGTCACATTCCATGTCGCAATCTTAAGGGGATTCGATACCGTGATTTTCTGTTTTTGTCTAACACACGCGCGACATAGTATTTTAGACGTGTTTTTTGCTAAACATACCAATTGATCCAATGAAGCGATAAGAATTCTGAAAACAGATTTGAATTTGTCATAAAGTCTACTTGAAATCGACTTTCCCACATTTTTGATATTATTCCCCGAATTTTTTAAAATGTCATATTCAAAAGGAGTATTTAAAAATTCTGTTATTTCAATTTTTGGAGAAGTTAAAATCAAAAAATCAAAAATGTGGGAAAGTCGATTTCGAGTAGACTTGACGATAAATTTAAATCTGTTTTCAGAAATTTTGTCGCTTCAATAGATCAATTGGAATGTTTGGCAAAAAACGCGTCTAAAATACTATGTCGCGCGTGTGTTAGACAAAAACAGAAAATTGCGGTATCGAATCCCCTTAATATCAGCACTCCGTTTCCAAAAACCAGTTTTAATCCATGTAGTCTTATCCTAGACTTACGTGTAGTTGGTTTCACAACAAAGTTATTTTTACTAGCCAGGGTTGTTAACCCTGTGCTTAACCCCCAACCTGGAGGACCAGAATGAACCAACCAATTAAGGTCAGTTCAGAGCTTGGGGCCCCATGTTCGCCAAACTCGTAGCACAAAGTAGTGCATTCCCTGGTAAACAAATAAAAGTTAATTTAAAATATTATTTTCTGGATGTACTTGAAGCAAAAGTTTCCAAACATTATCTGAAGATAGTTTTTTTTACATAAATATATGTAATTTTCAATCAACATAATCATTAATTCATTCCACCTATTTTCTATCTGTGTTAATCATAGTCGATTTTTAATTAAAACCAACTTTGAAAATGAGCATTTTGCATCACAGTTTGTTAAAGAAACTGTTAGATCTTAGATATAATCTCAATGCAATATACATATTTGGAAAATAAGATTTTGTTTGTAAAGAAGCTTTGCTATAGCATCACAATTATTATTATCTGTGGAAACTGTTTTGATATAATAATAAAAATGAGGTATTTCTGATTTTGAGTTATCATTGAGTTATCATTGTTATTGTAAAACTTAATACAATAATTTAATGAATCAATGTCAGTTTTAAAATTAAACAAAAATTTAAATTTAAAAAAAAAACAGATCATAAGCATTTAATATTGTATCTAGTTTGTAATGTAATCTATGTATAATAAGAAAGGAAGTATTTTCTTACACTTGAAATAGTTTCATTTTCACGCTGTATTTGTTTTCTTTTATCAAAGTCTTTATAATCTCTCTTACAAGCTATAAATATAAACTTTTATTTGAGTAAAATTCTATATTGTGTAGGTATTGTGTGTAACTTAAAAAGATGACTATTGCATTTTTTTGTTTTATTAAAAATTGTCTAGGCTCTAGACTATATCCTTCTTAGATACCACCCCTTATTTCGGCTCTGCTTGAAAGTACTATTTGTAAATATTAACTGTAACTGGTAATTCAATATGCAAATTTGTTAAATTATGGAAAACAATATTGGATACATACTGTAAAAGAACTTTAAATTATTTGCATAAATTATTTTTACCTACTTTTTTGTTCTATTTGAACTGAAAAAGGAACTTGTTCATTTTATAAAGGAACAGCAAAAGAACAGAACCATATCGTTTCCATAAGGAACATACCATACACTGTTAATTTATAACTATTAAGTTCAATAAAGATTTACTATATTTTTTTTTAGATACATTGCGTTAATTTAACTGGACTGAAAAAAAGAAATTCTGTTAAAGAAAGACTTCAATATGCAGAAGAGATACTTCCAGATATATTAAATTCTGCCCATAACCCATTAGGAGTATGTAATATGGAAATAATTTTTTAGTTAAAAAATTAAAAATTGTTAGCTTCATTATTATTTTTATTACTTTTATTGATTTATTTAGGGAAATATGTGGTGGGCCGAATCTGAGAATCCTTGGCAAACTTTAGCTTGTTGTATTGAGATATCCCATGCTCTACAATTAGAAAATCCAGAAAACTTTATTTCTCATTTCCCTGTTCATCAAGATGGATCATGTAACGGTTTGCAACATTATGCTGCATTAGGTAAAGATTTTGCAGGAGCAGTGAGTGTCAACCTAACTCCTTCTGATATACCACAAGATGTGTATAGTTGTGTTGCAGCTATGGTAAAAACATTGACATTGAATATAAAATAAATAATAAATAATAAATTAGATTATATTATTTTATTTTATTAGGTTGAAAGAGAACGTTTAAAAGACGCTGCAAATGATGTTGTGATAGCAAAATATTTAGATGGATTTGTTAGACGTAAAGTAATTAAACAGACTGTAATGACAACAGTTTATGGTGTAACTAGATTTGGTGCTCGTTTACAAATTGCTAAACAATTGAAAGGTATTTTCACTAATATATATATATATATTTTAATGCTATAATGTATTTAATTTTTGAATATTTTTTTGTAAGATATTGATTCATTTCCTAAAGATAAAGTTTGGTCGGCTTCTACTTATTTAGTGGCAAAAACATTTGAAAGCTTAAGAGAAATGTTCACTTCTACAAAAGAGATACAAGTAAAGTTGAATTATTATAAATACTTGAGATTTTAATTTAGTGTTTGCACAGAAAAGTCCAGCCCATTAGAACCCTAGCTGCTTTTCTGTGCCCAACCCACTCAGTTCTTTTTTAAACCAATAGTAAAGCCGTGCTACTTAAAAAAAATCCATACATATATAATAGAAATATAAGAAATTATTTTCATTATATTATAAGGTAAATATCATGAACTAAGATAGTATAGAATATTTACCAGCAGCGGTGTTATTATCTGGGGTCAAATTATTAAATGTTATTTCGGTAGTAATGAATCCATTAACTGTTTTAAATGTGTTGCCATTTTTATAGATTTAAATTATTAGGGTGTCGTCCTAAAAAAAGGTTAGGCACTGCCCTAAAGTACCAACTAAGATTCTTTCTTCAAAAACGATACTGAAGTTGAAAATTGAAGCATTTTTTCTGCAATACCAATTATTTACAGTCCTTCAGACCCGAAAAAATTGGTACTCATTTTAAAATCAATACAGAACCTAAAATTATCTAAAATGTTCGGTTATTATTTATACGTTCAAGTAATTTATGATTTAGATTTACAACAAATATCTAATTTTAGATTCTGAGTGAAACGATGAATGTATTGATTTTACAATGAAGTATGGTTTTTTTTTTTATATTTTTTTTTTGTTACCTTTTAGGACAGTAAAAGTGCTGGGATTTTCTTCAACAGTATCTTTTCTGATAGGAAAGTAAATCTAGTTGGTACTTTTGGGGGTCAAAAGTAAAAATTTCCCAGTAGTTTTAGAAAGCGACATGAAAAACAAAAGAAAAATTAAGGGAAAACCGGAATTTTAAAGCAAAATCTGTTTTCGATGAAATCGATTTTGGTTTATGGTGTAACTCTAAAACAAATGACCGTAGATACATGCATTTTTTACTGACTTTTTATATTAGCATTTTCTATACACCATGCCTTTTTTTAAAAATTTTGACTTATTTGGAGCTGTTAAGGGATATTTTCAGTTTCCAATTTTTTTAGTTTTTTGGTCTATAAATATCAATACAATATTATTTGTTGGGTACAAGAGCTTGAAAATTTAATAGAGGGCTCCTACTATATTGTTACAATAGTAGTTCAAAAAGATTAAAAATCCTTAGTCACAGTTTTTTTTTATAAGCATTTAAAGTTCAAAAATTGTCAAAATATGGAAAAATCACGAAAATTAGCAAATTCTTTGAGTTTCCTTATTTCGTTGTACTTCAAAAACGAATAATAAAAGATGAAAATTGCACTGACTGTTTATATTAGTGTTTCCCATACACCATACAATTTTGATTCTTTTTGAGCTGTTAACGGACATTTACAGTGTTAAATGTTGAAAATTTTTTTTCTATAAATATCAATAAAGTTTTATTTGTTGGGCCAAAAAGTGTAAAAATTTAATACTAGGCTACTGATATATTGTTACAATAGCAGTCAAAAAATATTAAAAATACATAGGCACAATTTTTTTATAAGCATTTAAAGATCGAATTTTGACAAAATTTAAAATTGAATAATTATTTTGTAGTTCAAAATGTATAAAATGTTCAACTTTTATATCTAAGGATTGAAAATTTAAAACAAGGTTCCACTTAAGTAGTTGATTCTGTTACCAAAAAATCTAAAATATTCACAAGCACAGTTTATTTTTATAGTCATTTTAAGTTCAAATTTGGACGAAATTACATATTAAAAAACCTAGAATAACTATTTTAGTTATTTTTTTGTGATTGAATAATATATTCGTGGGTACTTAAAAGTTCTAAAGTGTACTATTATTTATCTATGATAGTATCATGGTTTGTTGTTGATGTATAACGCGTTATAAGTATCTAATGGATATTGTGATTTGATTAATTTTAAATTTATTATGGGTACCTATTATAGGTCAATATTTTTTTAAAATACCATAGATATGTTTATAATATGTCTTAAACCTAGACTGACATACCGTCTCCGCTCAGAATATTTTTTCTTATACAATGATATTATATCATTGAATTCAAATTTAATACCATCCATTATGCAGTGACCCACTTGTAACCTACTGTACAGCAGAGCACCTTTTATTTAATTTAAACTGGTGTACATTATTTTAGGATTGGTTTACAGAATGTGCCCGTGTAATATCACAATCATGTGGTCAAAGTGTAGAATGGATAACACCATTAGGATTACCAGTAGTCCAACCATACAATCGTAGAAATAAATGCCAAGATTACACTAAGAAATCTAGTGTTAAAATGGAAGAACATTTTATACTGGATATGTATGAGTTAGTATCTGAATAAACAATCTTAACGATTATTGTATACATTACAATGTCATTAACACTTATGCTTTATTAAAAATTAATTTTACTCATCTTTGAACTAAGGTTTTACTATTCAAAAAATGTATATTTAACAGTTATGTATAATTTGTAGTCGGCCAAATGTGATGAAACAAAAGAATGCCTTTCCCCCAAACTTTATCCATTCGTTGGATTCTAGTCATATGATGTTAACATCTCTTCACTGTGAACGAGCAGGGATCACATATGTATCAGTGCATGACTGTTTCTGGACACATCCTAATTCTGTTGAGGTTATGGGAAAAGTAAAGATACAAACAAACATATACTTTTAATGAAAATGTTATTTATGTATAATAATATTTTTAGATTTGTAGAGAACAATTTGTAGCACTACACAATGAACCAATTCTAGAAAATTTATCTAATTTTATGATTAATAAATATAACCTTCCTAATTAGTAAGTATAATAAAAAGTTAGAATAAAATTGAATTAATATTATTTATTACATTATTTGTTTCCAGCGATATTACGAATGATACTCAAGATATGTTAAATGTTTTTCAACAGTTACCTAAAAAAGGAGATTTTAAACTTAATAATGTTCTAGACTCTGTGTATTTTTTTAGTTGAAACGTTTTAGTTTGATGTGATATGTGTTACTATTTATTTTGTTTTCTAGTCTTTAAAATATATTTATATTTTTTCAAAAGATATGCGTTTATTATTTTTTATAGATCCTATTCATTTGATTTCTCATGTAGCAATTTTCTTATTTTGTTGTAATTCAAAAAAAAATAACTGTAAATACATGATAATATAACTGAATGTTTATATTTTCGTTTTTTATACACCATACAATTATGAAAATATTTTGACTCTTTTTAAGCTGTTAATGGACATTTTCAGTTTTCAATTTTTAAGGTCTTTTTTTCTACAATTGTTAATAAGATTTTATTCGTTAGGTAAAAAAGCTTGAAAATTGAATACAAGGATTCTATTACATTGTTAAAATGGGTATTCGGAAAAAAAATCCCCGGAAAAAAAATCCCCGGATAAAAAATCCCCGGAAAAAAAATCCCCTAAGTTTGCTTCGTTGTGTTTGCTAAGTTTACTTATATTTAACTGTACATCTTAAATGGAGACAACAAAATATGTCGGTGTAACGTCCTCTTAATAAATGCGATTGCGATTACGATATAATAGGTACCGACTGACAAATTAGTTTCGGTCCAGGACGCATAACAGACGTAATCGCATTTTAGACAGATAAAAACATTATCGCGACGTATTGAAATCATTATAGTATGATTAACAAATAATTTGACGACATTTCTTGAACTTATAGTCTAGAAAAATATTATTGGTGGTCTATTTATTACCACTTCGCGGGCCGCCAATATTGCTAACGATATATTATTACGGTACAATACACCTTAGGCGGTCAGTATACTTCTCTAGTTCCCACATAGTGTTGTAAAGAGTGTTGAAGAATTTTGAAATGAATAGTGTTATTGAAATAATTAAATCCACTCATGGAAATGATAAAGTTTGTTTCAAAGATTTTATGTACGTACGTCAAAAAGATTGCAAGTATTTTATTAGATGGAGATGTTCAAAATTTAGTTCATTCAAATGTCCAGCTATTTTAAAAACATCCCACACAATAAAAAATCCAAGAGAAATCCACGAACATAATCATTTTGCAGATAAAAATGGTAAACTTTATTTTAATATACAATAACATTGTTTTTACATACTATATTGTTACATTACATAGTACATACTAGGAAAAATTTTCGAGTCGAGTTCGAGTACTCGACTCGACTCAACTAAAAATTTTTTTGTACTTGTAACTACGAGTACTCGCTTTGAATCGAGTACTCGTATCACTATTTATATTATTAAAAATTTAAAATACTAGGTATAAATAGTATTTTATTGAAAAATAAATGTTAAAATTATACATTTTTCGGATACAATGATATTAGATTCTATTTACTTATAAATAAATAAATAAATATTTACGTAACAATATAATATAATATAATATGTACCTGTTAATCAATATTAACAATAATTATTAATTATAGCTATAGCTGCCATAAAAATTCAAAGAAAGATAAAAAAAAAAGCTTTAGCGTCAAATGATACTCCCGGCCAAATATTTTCCGAGGCAATCGAAAATGTCGCAGTAGATATTTTAGCTGAATTGCCTAAGGAAGCTTATATTAAACGTACCATTAGAAATCATCGAAGTTATCATAATCCAAAGGAACCTCAAAACATACATGAAATTATTAACTACAGTTAACTTCAGTAACCCACTTGTAACCTACTGTACAGGAGAGCGACTTTTTTTTAATTAATTGTTTTCGATTTTTATATTTTGTCCCATGCTGGGCTGTGCTACTTAGTGCAATTTTTACCCTATTGGCTCCAACCTCGATTTTAATTTTGCGAATTAGCACCCATACTGTTGGATGACTATGTTAGGACAAGTGATAGGTCAAGTGTGCGAAACGATTTTTCCACGATTCACATATATTATTAGTTTTGAGTTTATTGTTGAAATAGCTTCAAAGACATTCCACGTTTTTGATATAAATAAGGGTTTAGTTTTTCTTAATTGTATATTCATACCAGCACCGACTCTCTTATATGAACCATTTACATAATATGTGGTGTCGAAGTAATTTAATAACTCATTCGCTTCAGCCTTCAGGGATGTTTGTTTGTTTTAAGAACTCCATTTCTCCGTAAACCCGTTCAAGGGGAAGGAATACCAGACCATCATAGTCCATAAAACAAAAATGATTAAATTTGTCATCTTTCATTATATACTGGACCAAAAACATAAATAGGCGCTGAACTTACTGTTTTTTCAAAAGAGACATGTATAATCCTGGGATCGGGGAACAAATTTTGCTGTTCACATTTTTATAAATAATACATTGGTAATTTACGACTTTAAATAGTGATAATCTATAACATATAATATAATATGATTAGATCCTGATACTGAAGGATAATCAAAGATTAGATGACCCAACATTCATAATTTTTAAATTTGGGACTTTTACTCTCGAACTTTTTTCTTTGGATTTTTATTACTTTACTTTTTTCACCGGACTTTTGTTCGGGGATTCTAGATCATAACTCAGATGTCAAAAAAAAATGAGACATAAAATTGATAATAGGAAAATTCATTTCTAGCAAAATATGTTTCTGAACTTATACTTGTCCAATAAAATAATATTTTAAGATTAAATATTTTCTAAATCAATACAGTTGCATCGAATCCCGGAATAAAAATCCCCCGGAAAAAAAATCCCCGGAAAAAAAAACCCCTGACGAACAACCCCGGAAAAAAATCCCCGACTACAATATTACTCACAACCTCATGCAAATGGTTGAACAAATATTTTTTTAACGTTAATTAGTATCTATAATTACCTGTTCTTCTTTTGTCAATTCTAATAATATTGCATGTGGTACATTACTCACAGACTCAGCAAATATTTGACTCGGTGTTGCATGTGATATTTGTGCTTTTTTCTTCATTGTATTTTGTAATTTTAAAGCAGCGACTGCATTTTTATTAGAATCATGTACATGGTCATGATCAAGACCAACAAATATTGGATTTTCAATATTTAAACTAGTCTTAAGTACACTCGGACATTTTAAAGAGCTAAATTTAGAACATCGCCAACGTAAAAAATTTGAACACTCTTTTTGAAAATGATAAATAAAGCCGATGTGCGTAATTTTAGGTTTTTTACCATTAGTTTTTAAAATTTTCAGCGTTTCCATAGCGTTGTCGTTTTGTGTATCGTGTACTAAATTTGTAGCTAAATTTGTAGCTAAGATAACGAGTATCCAAATTATGTTCTTGAGCCCATTACAGATTAGATAGGTAGGTGTAACCTTTTACCTTATAATATATATTATCAAAGGTACATACTAAACCGCTTATCGTCAAAATGTCACAGAAAACGCAATATTTTATTTCGGGGATTCAATTTTTACAGAATTATACCAACATAAAATATATAGGTACCTATATTTTGTATAATATTTTTGTATACTATGTTTTTAACTGTATTATTAATTGACGTATCGATCATTCTAAATATTTTTATAATTTTTTTAATAATATAATATAATATATACTTATTTGTCATTAAATATTAATTATAGTTACTAATTAACGTTCAAAATATATTTGTTCAACCATTTGCATGATGTGATTGTGAGGAATATTGTAGCTGGGGATTTTTTTTCCTAGGGTCGGGGATTTTTTTTCCGGGGTTGTTCGTCTGGGGATTTTTTTTCCGGGGGATTTTTATTCCGATTACCAGTTGCATCAATACAGGTAAATAGAATACAGAAATATATTTTCCGAGGTTGTACGTTCCAACTTATTATTTTCCAACAATTTTGGAATCGTTATTAATTGAAAAGTATTTTGGCGGAATAGTATAAGTAAAGTTCAGATTGTATTTTGTTGAAAATGTATATTTTTCCGGAATCGTATGTCTATCTATACTGTTCGCATACCGTGAGTCGTAACCCAATAATATACATTTCCAACATAAATATTACTCAGTATATTATTACAGTACCATCAAACATGTTTCCAACACAAAATTTTTCATAAAAATACTTTTTCGATATAATATATTACAAACGGATTACGATTTCAAAGAAATATGATTCAATAAAAATACAGTTCCAGCAGCATGTGTTTCCGATGGAGTATTTTTCTACGATAATAGGTACGCAGTTCCAAAAAATTAATAATTTTTCAACTTTTTATGTGTAGGGAGCAGGTTGTAAGACCTGTAGCTGACTAATCTTTTTGGTAATTTATTAACCGCCCTTATATCGTTTATACTTATTGTAAAATTGTAAAATACATATTATATACCTATGCTATAAATATTGGAATAAAAAAAAATATCGAATTTAAAGAAATAATAATTTTTGTTTTTTTCTTATTCAACATTTCAAACCATACGAGTAATATATACGACCATAATACGACTATACATATATGAGAATGTCCGACCGACAAATTATAATTACGCCAATGAACTTAACTCTTTGAAATATATAGATTTACGAAAAAAATTTCTAAAAATCGCTTTACAGCTAAACTGCATTTTCTATGTAGATTCATGGAATAATATACCTACACAAAATCCCGAACTTCAAAATGTTATAACATTGAAACTAAATCCGGCCTACATATTCTGATTGAGCCATATTGTGCTTAACATACATATATTTATTATAACAATACTTAAAATAAAATAATATATACATTATTATTATTTTTTTGTACAGGGGCCTCATTTAAAACTTTGGCCCCTGGGCCTCAAAATGTCTTAATCCGGGCTTGACTGTAGGTTCTTGGTGGCTTTTTCAATTATCAATGATGTCGCTTATTTTAATTGTTAGGGTGCTCTTGAGTGCAACGTGCAAGTATACTTTAGAGCGCTGAGCGAATCACTGTACAAATGTTAATAGTCGAAGTTAAATGAAATATTTGTACCTATATATTATTAATATACTTGAACAATTTCAAGTATACCTAGTACCTACCCATGGATAATATTTTTAAATTA